CCGGCAGCTGCCTGGGGTGCCGGCCCCTCAGCACCGCGATGCCGCCACCCCCGGGCGCGTCGGGACCGGACCCGAAGGACCGCCGAGACCCCACGCGCCCCTCGCAGCCCGGGGTGAGTGCCCCCCTGGAGCGCTTCCTTTCCCCTTCGCGGCTGTCAGGCAACCCATCCCACCCGGTCGTGACCTCAGAAGTCACCCGGCCGGCCTGAAACTGTCCCCGACTCAGCCGGCTCCCCTGGATCAAAATTAAGGTTTTCTTAGAGATCGCAACCTGAAATTGACCATTATTGAGGAGTTATTATTTTTATAGTTTCTGACACTTTGGTCCCCCTTCGGAGGTTTGGTATATACGGTTGAAATTGAGCAAAATATGGATCGTGTTTGCGTGCTGGATATGCCCCTTTCGCGGGGGGAGGGGTTCTTCCAGGTTTTTCTGACCCAAAAAGAACCCAGATGCCACTACCCTCTAGTTGATAGGTGAGGGAAGTGGTTTCTGGAGCTGGGGGAAGGTTAATGAGTTAGGCCTAGGTAGCCGACATCTTCCTCACCTTTGCTTGTACTTAAAGTACAAGCAAGTAACGGTGCGATTTGCAAGAAGCTCCCACTCTCAGATCCCTTCTGCTTCGCCTTTGTTACTTTGGAGGCCAGAGTTAGGTTAACATCCCAAATTTTACTTGGTTTATTTATATTAACAGAATCAGAACAAGAAGGCAATTAACTGGTTTTTCAGTCGGCAGCTGGGATCAGGGACACAGGTAGTTTAGAATCCTGGTACTTGAGCATTGAGGTTTTTTTTCAAGTGGAAAGAAATTGACTTGGTGAACTTTCCCTTGGAAACGTGCCTTTGTAACTGTTTTGTGTTAGAAGCTCAGGTACAACTGCATCTGCAGAAATTTTCAGTATTTTCTCATCCCAAGTAACATGAAACATTATGCACATTTAACGGTATCAAGGTCTCTGTGTATTTATATTTAAAGCTACTGTAATATGTTTAGTATAATTAAATGTCTGCATCTTACTAGTATTTTTATTTTTTAAACCTGCCCCAGTAGCCTGTTTCCTGGAAGTCTTTAGCCATCACATTTGCTATTGGAGGAGCTTTACTGGCTGGAATGAAGTACTTCAAGAAAGAAAAGGCAGAGAGTAAGTAGATATCATTTGATCATCTCTGAATAAAATCTTTCCTGGCTATAGACTAGCAACTTTTTGTTGTTTTTAGACTTTTTATCTTGAAATAATTTTAGGTTTACAGAAGAGGTATAAATATGGCATAGATTTCTCATATAACTTTCACCTAGCTTCCCCTAATGTTAACATGTTATATAACCATGAAAAGGAAGAAATTAGAATTGGTAGAGTAGTACTCACTAAACCACACACTTTATTTGGATTTCACTTGTTTTTCCGTTGCCTTTTACCTGTTCCAGGATCCAATCCAGGATAGCACTGTCCAACAATATGAAACGATTTAATTTTGGACAGATTTGAATGTGGGTAGTATGAAGTCAAAGATGACTAAGGTGCTATTCCAGCCTTTGAACAGAGGTAAAGGATTTTACTAGAGGAGGTTCTGTGAGGCCAGAGAGAAGTTGAGGGTGCTCAGAGGGCCAAAGGAAGGCTCAACCCTTACTGCAGACCACTGAGTGTCAGCTGAGGGCAAAGGCCAGAGGCTGACCGTGGAGGGTGGAGAGAGGGGGAGCCTGGTGCAGGAATGCTAGAAACTGCTTTGCAGATACACTCGAAGTGTTCAGTAGTTGTTTACAGGAAGTTTATCTTTTAGTGAATATTCTAGGACTTTCAAGATTTGCTTTAGAAGTTCTCAGTAAATCTTTTAAAGTATCACCTAAATCTGTTTTGATTACTTTAGTGTCTCTTTTGATGCCCTTATACAAAGGATGATGTTTAAATCTGGGAGTGAGAATTCATAGGCTTTAGAACCTTGGCAATATAAGGTTCATATTGATATTTAGACCTATTTTTTTTGTATAGCTAGCAGTATTTTTCATTAGATACAGTTTGTCATTAGATATAATTTTCATATTCTTTTTTTTATATATCTTTATTGATTTCAGAGAGAGGAAGGGAGAGGGAGAGAGAGAGATAGAAACATCAATGATGAGAGAGTCATTCATCTGCTGCAGCCCACAACCGGGGCATGTGCCCTGACCGGGAATCGAACCCTGATCGCCTGGATCCTAGGCCGATGCTCAACCGCTGAGCCACGCCTGGCTGGGCTATAATTTTCATATTCTAATAAGCAGTTAAATTCTTTTAGTTTCACAATGAAATAAAACGAAACAGCTAGGAAAGTGGTGGTAGAGACACTTCTAGGAAATGCAAGCTTCTTTCGACTTTAGTTTGGACTGTCACCTGCATTTAATAACATTTTTTATTAAAAATGTATTATGATACAATATTAAAAGTGTTGCTAAACCATTTGAGAGTACGTGCTGACACGATGCCTCGTCATCTCCAAATACTTCATTGTATATTTCTACAAAAAAGCACATTCTCCAACATAATCACAATACAGCAGTCAAAATCAGAAAATTGACACTGATATGTTTTATAGTTCAGTGTTCAGACCTCATTCAAATTGTGAAACTTGATGCCCTTTATAGCAAAAGTCGTCAAGTTTAGAACCACACGTCATACCTAGTTGTTGTTTCTTCAGTCTCCTTCAGTCTTTAAGTTTTTCAGTCTTTACTTGACTGAGGACCTGATAATCGGCCATTTCTCTAAAAAGCCCTTTTCCTTTTTGTGGGGGAGGATATTTAGAAGTCAGAATATGAGTTCATTGCTGTTGGGGTGTGTCTGCTACCGGGTCCTCTCAGCAGACAGAGCTAGGAAAGAGATATGTATGTATATTTTCATCTATATTTATATCTATATATATTGAAACCATAAATTCACACCGAACCTCCAGTTTCTTTCCAGCACTGCAAGGTTCATTCTAGTTTTCTTTCCATTGTTCTAACTCTCTGTCCGTTTGTAACCCTCATATCTCTAATATGTGTACTTATTTGATGAACCCCCAGTAAGTAACTAAGATCCCATCACTGCTGCCCTCTCTCCATACAGCTGCCCGCGGCACACTCAGACTCAGACTCCCAGTGCCAGGCCACCTACCTTTCCCGCTTGGGCTCAGACCTTCTGCACGTCTGATGCACTGTCGGCTTAGGACTGAATTGTTCCAGGAGAAATATTTTTACCACTTTTCTTAAAATCTTTACAACATAACATGGTACTTAACTTGATTTTGTTTTATTTTATGCTTATTTTCCTTAAAAGATTTTTTAAGCTTCTTAAAAACTGACACTATTTCTTCTACATTTTGCTCCCACACAGCTATTAGAATAGTATGGATCATATTATCAGGCATTTGAGCACCTGTGGTTAGATTGACCTTTTTTTTTTTTTGATGTATGTATTTGTGTCTGTTTAAGAGTTGGAGAAACAACGGCAGCGAAGCATTGGAAAGCCTCTACTTGGGGGACCATTTTCCCTCACAACTCATACTGGAGAGCCCAAAACTGATAAGGACTACCTGGGTCAGTGGGTACTGATTTATTTTGGTTTCACTCATTGCCCTGATATTTGTCCAGAAGAACTAGAAAAAATGATCCAAGTCGTGGATGAAATAGGTAAGAAAGCCATCTCTTACTATGTTTACTTAATGTCCTTAATGTTACTGTACTTTTCACAGCCTTACATTACTGTTAGGCGGAGGGTCATAATTGTTTGATTTGTGAGAACATAAAATCTCAGCATTAGGCTTGCTTGTTGCTTTGATTCCCTGACCTATAAATTCTCCACCAAAAGAAGCTTGTTACGATGCCTAAAAATGTTAGGTTGCTTAAAAATGTCAGTGTGATCTGGGTCTCCCTTAACTCTGCTTTGTGTCCCTTTATTGCGGCTTTCCATCATTGACACCGCTGTTGCCTTTTCCTGGGTTAGACTGAAATCTGTTGTATGGTCTCTGATGTGCAGTCAGAGCATTATTAGTACCACTAAGAAGACAGGGTACATCCTTCTTAAAATGAATTAGTCCAGGCTATTCAGTCCTCAGGGTGAATAGCTTACCCTGCCCTTGGGGGATGGTAGGGGAAAATAACCTACAATCCTGGATTAGGAGACGTGATACCCATATGATGTGATGCAGGCCTTAGCATGTATCCCCTGGGTTATTTATCTGATTCCACCACAGATAATATATGGATCTATTTCTCCTGAACACCATCCCACCCCTTCCCCGTCATGTAACACCAGTGTTAGATGTGCCTTTGTGTTTCCCTAACCCCTTGCTGTACCTACTACATTTGACTGTAATCACTGGTTTTCTTTGTTTTTTCCCTTAGAGTGTGAATACTGACTAATGAGAACTTTTTTTCAGATAGTATTCCAACTCTGCCAGATTTAACTCCACTTTTCATCACTATTGACCCAGAGAGGGACACAAAAGAAGCCATCGCAAATTATGTGAAAGGTGTGTTTCAGTAATACTTTATATCTGTTTAGCTCTACAGTTTTTGAAAGATTAACCCATTTGAACCCTATAATGCCTTGTGAAATAGAGAGGACTAATGTTATCTCCAGTTTTACAGGCAAATAAAGTGATGAGGCTCAGAGTTGTGACTGTAGCTAGTAAATAAGCAAATAAGCAGTTTCTGAATTCCTGAGTCAGGGCTCTTTTTATTTTGTCACAGTGGAAGAACTGAAATTGGCCTTCATATATCAACAAAGTTACTAGAGCCTGGAATTGAGAGTAAGGACAGATTATTTCTAATCCCAGCTGTGTACCTCATTCTCTCCTTTGTAAAATTAATGTCTGTACCTTCTGGGAGTATGTACATTGGGAGAATAAAAATGAATTATATGTAAACACATTTTTAACACATCACATGTTTTATAAATCCAAAACATTCTTTATAACAAAAACATGTAATTATTAATGGAAGAATTTAAATTCAAACATCTCAGCATGCAGGTTAAAACCTACTAGAAGGTACTTTTAAAGACTGTCAGTTAGGGTAGAATTAAAGGTGAATATTTGGGTCTTAGGAACTTGGGTGAGTTGCTTAATTTCTCTAGATTCAAGTTTTTTCAACTGAAAAATGTGTTGAAAATAAAAATCTGATCAGACAGGTTTTGTTGTTTTTATACTAATGTGCAGAATGTGGATGCTTAAAAATCAGGGGTTTACATTTTAATTATGGTGAAATTGATTTAAACTACTGGACAGAAGGACTAATGAATAGTTTTAAGTTTATTATATGACACATCCTAATGCACATATCCTCTAAAGCTTTGAGGTTATTTTAAAAATGTGTTTTGTGAAGGACCTGCTATATATTTTATTATTTAACAAATTTATTGAGATATAATTGACATAATGTGTACATATTTAAAGTGTACAGTTTTTGCCTTTTGACATATGTATGCACTTGGGAAACTACCACCACAATAAAAAAAAGTGAACATACCCATCACCCCCAGCAGTTTCCTTGTGCCCTGCTAATCCCTCCCTCCTGCCCTTCCACTTCACCCACCCCCATCTTCAGGCCACCACTGATCTGCTTTTTGTCAATATAAGTTAGTTTGAATTTTCTAGAAGTTTACGTGAATAGAATTATAGAGTATGCACTTTTTTTGAATGGCTTCTTTCAGCATAATTATTTTGAGAAATCCATGTTGTAGAATGTATCAGTAGTTCGTTCATTTTTATTGCAGAGTAGTATTCAGTTGATGGATGCTGAAGTTATTTCCGGTTTTAGACTTACAAATAGCTGCTGAGAGCATTCATGTGCGAGTCTTTGTATGGACACGTGCTGTTATTTCTCTTGAGTAGATGTCTAGGAGTAGAGTGGCTAGATTATGTGGTAGGTTTATGTTTAACTTTTTAAGAAACTGACAAACTTTTTTCCAAAGTGGTTATACATTTTTACATTCCTACTGCAGTATGTGAGAGTTGCAGCTCCTCCACATCCTTGCCACACTTGATGTGGTTAGTAGTCTAACTTTAGCCGCTTCAGTAGGTATTTAGCGGTAGGTGCCTCATTGTGGTTTTAACATGTGCTTCCCTAATGTTAAGTACCTTCTCATGCTGTGGTTTGCAGTCTGTCTGTCTTGGGTGAAAAGTATCTTTTTATCTTTTGCCCATTATTATGGAGCTGTTTGTTTTATTTTTATTTATTTACTTTTATTTATATTCCTGATATAAGTCTTTTATCAGGTGTATGATTGGCAGATATTTTCTCCCAGACTACGGCTTGTCATTTCAGCCGTGTTTTTTGAAGAGCAGTTTTCCATTTTGATAAAGTCCAGTTTTTAAGTTTGTTTTTGTATAGGTAATTCTTTTGGTTTTGTATGTAAGAAATCTTTGCATAATCCAAGGTTACAAAGTTTATGTTTTCATCTTTAGAGTATTCAGTATGTAAAAGTGAATTTTATGTCCATAGTTTTCTGGTTTGTCAGAAATTTGGGCAATAGCATAGTTATATTCTAAAGCAGTAAGAAGCAGGAATAACTCATTGGGTGATGAACAATCTCCAATTTAAATGTGTGTTATATTAGCAATTATTTTTCATCACATAGTAACCAAACTAAATATCCCAAGTAAAAACTGTAGTGCTTATTAATTCATGATTATATCTTTAAACTTCAGCATATCTCAGCACCACATCTAAGTATTTAAAAACCACTAACTTAATAAAAAGTGTGATTTAAATAATTAGAATATTCCCACTTTACTAGATAGTAATGAAAGGATATGACTGATAGATTACAAAGAACCAACTTTGAGTTTCATTGATCTTGTCTATTAATATCCCATTTTCAATTCCATTGATTTCTACTCTAATTTTTTTTTTCCTGCTTACTTTGCATGTAATTTTCTGTTCTTTTTTCTAGTTTCCTAAGGTGGAAACTGATTTTAGATCTTTTCTAATGTATGCATTCAGTGCTAGAAATTTCTCTCTTGAGCACTGTTTTTGCTTCATCCCACAGATTTGGATAAGTTATATTTCCATTTTCATTTTTCAAAATAATTTTTGCTTTCTCTTAAGATTTTTTCTTTGACCCATGTGTTACTTAGAGGTGTGTTTATCTCCACATACTTTGGGAATTTCCACATATCTTCTGTTACTGATTTCTATTGTAATTCTAGTGTGACTTACAATATACAGGTATTACAGAGGAGAATTTTTATTTGTTCTATGTGATATTTTTTTCTTTTGAAACAGGAATGTTTAGGAACTCATAGGAAGAAAGTAGCAGTAGGGCTGCTTTATAACTAATGCTGCTTTTTGATGTAGGGATGGTGGCTTGTGTGCTTCTCATTTTTCACTCTTTCTTATTTTTTATTTAGAATTTTCTCCCAAACTGGTTGGCTTGACTGGCACGAAAGAAGAGGTCGATCAAGTGGCCAGAGCTTACCGAGTGTATTACAGCCCTGGCCCCAAGGACGAAGATGAAGACTACATAGTAAGTAAACCCTCAGGCTTCAGCCCACAGGCCTGCTCTCAGGTCCCAGGTGTGCAGATAGCTTTAAGTGGTGACTGGCTTCAGAGAGGAAAGCAAGCCTGAGATTATTGCAAACTCCTTAGGAATTAAGGATATTTGAATGTATAGTAGAAGTACAATTTTTTAAGGGTGTTTGTTTAATATATATTCACTGTTCCCATAATTTAATTGCCCATTTTTCTTTTCTAGTGGCACAAAATTATAGGGCAATATAAAATTAGTGGTGCCTTAGAATCAATGGAATGTAACCCTCGTAGACCACATTGGAAATAAAGAGAAGCTGTCATTTCGGAGCAAAGCTTAGTTTAATTGTTACAGGCATTGTATTGGTTCTCTCTGTGTCCCCTATGAAAGGTCAAAGAAATATGCTCTTTTTGAGAAGCAGTGTTAGGCCACGAGGAACTGCATTTTTGGGTTGAATGAATAAGAATTTTGAAAAGAAGAGAAAAGATGAAAGGTGCAGACAGGTAGATTTTCTTTAAGGTGTATTTTCATATCAACTACATGTTTTGCATAATTAGGTGTTTAATACATGCTTTTTAGTGATGAAGAACAGAAATTTCATTAAGTCCTTCTATAGCTTGTACTTTCATTAGCACTGCCCCGGGGGCCCTAGGCTAATGTCCAAGTCCCATTGCTCTTTTTCTTATCAGTGGTTTCACAGTGAAGCACCAACAAAGGGCACACACTGCCCCATTCAGTTTTATTCTCAATAGGACATTCTTTCCCATCACATTAAGAGTTGATAATGTATTTTAATAGCATTTCCTATTTTTCTTCAGTTGTCATACTCTGGTTTCTGTATCATTGGTTGGACAGAGTGATTAATCAGAAGAGCTTTTTACCAACAAAGCTGGTTTTATAGAAAAAGATGGCCAGGACCCTAAATCATTGATCTGTTAGCTACGCCAAGAGCAACATGCAGAGGGAACATCTCACTGCGGTGCTTTGCCCCTTTATAGCCTAGTTTCTCCATCATCTTTGAACCTGAAGCACACTGTGTGCCCCTGTAGCCTATGGCCTGAATTAGGCTTCTGGTACCTTTGCCTTAAGCCCACACCATAATCTTATTTTCTAGTTCTGGTGCCTCCTAGATTGAGGGAAACTTGGATTCATAGGGGAAAAACAAAAATTAGCCTTTTTCTTTTTTTTAAATATATCTTTATTGATTTCAGAGAGAGGAAAGGAGAGGGAGAGAGCGAGATAGAAACATCAATGATGAGAGAGTCATTGATCGGCTGCCTAGCCCACAACCCGGGCATGTGCCCTGACCGGGAATCAAATCCCGATCGCCTGGATCCTAGGTCGATGCTCAACCACTGAGCCACGCCTGGCCAGGCTAGCATTTTTCTTTAAGCCCTAAGTTTAAGGAAAGAAAAAACCCTACTGTAGTTTCCTCTTGTTGCACCAGCAGCATGAGAAGAGTGAGAGAAGAGCAGAGGGGAGCAAGGGGCAAGAGAGGAAGCTGTGGAAAAACAACTTTTCCAGCTTAATGGCTCTTTCTATAAAAGAGAGCTGTAGTAACTGGTTTTGAGTTTGGGCACTGAGATTTGTACTGTGTACATAATCCAGAATAGGGATATTAATTTTTTAATCTAAAAAATTGAAATGCAAATATTTAAACCTTATGGAGACTTCTTACAGTCTCTAGAAACCATCCTAGACCCCATTTTGAGAAATACTGGTCTCCTGCCATAAGAATTTGAGATTTGGTAAGAATCAATGCGGAGTTCATTACTCTGCATTTGCCAAATCAGCCAATAGGGGGAGACACTCTCCAGCTTCTTGGTGTATCATTAGTATGGTTTCTGTCCCGTGAGGTCACAGATATTCATTCACAAGATGGTGTGGGAAAATGCTGTTAAGATTTAAGGAGTGAGGGAATACCTTAAAGGTTGAGCTGTAATGGAATGAGGTTTTCTTAATCTCAAACAACACCAACAACAAGTAAGCCTCTGGCTTTTGAATGTAGTGGAGTCCTCAGACTGATAGTGTATGTAAACCGGGTGTGCCGGACATTGCACATTATATATGCATATATATTCTAATGCTACGTTATTTTGTGTTAATTAGAAACTACTTTTGACAAAGAATATAAATGACTTTCAAACCAAAGAAAAAAGATCTTCAGTTTCACTCATAATGAAAGAAATGTGAATTGTATAATGTGATCCATTTTCACTTGTTAGATCAGCAAAGATCAAAAGTTTGAAATATGCTGTCCAAATCGAGTTGGGAAAAGAGGGCATGTACTGTAGGAATGAGGCTCTTTCATGCATAGTTAACAGATAGGAACAGTTTGTCAGTATCTATCAACATTTTTATATATATATATACACACACATATATTTGTGAGGATATTTTTCCATTGCTTTTCAGAGAGAATGGAAGGGGGAGAGAGAGAGAGAAACATCGATGTGAGAGAGACACACCGATTGGTTGTGTCTCCTGCAATTGCCCCCATCAGGGCCCGGAATTGAGCCTGCAACCAAGGTGTACATGCCCTTGGCCAGAATCAAACCCTGGACCCTTCAGTCCTCGGGCTGATGCTCTAACCACTGACCAAATTGGCCAGGGCAGTATCTAGGGGACCTCTTAGGTTAGAGGTCCTACTTTTTGGAATTTATCCTACAGATATAACCTGCAGCATTGTTTATAAAAAGACTGAAAACCAAACAACCATTTTTTAAAAGGTTACGAGGTATGTGCTGATATAGAACAATGCCCAATATATCATTAAGTGAGAAAATAAGTATAGTATGTTGTTTCTTCTGTGTAAGAAGAAATAGGTGATAGGTAGTACAAGAAATAAGTGGATAGCCTGGCTGGGCCTGGCTCTGCGGTTGAGCGTCGACCTAGGATCCAGGCGATCGGGGTTCGATTCCCGGTCAGGGCACATGCCCGGGCTGCGGGCTCAGTCAATGACTCTCTCATCATTGATGTTTCTGTCTCTCTCCCTCTCCTTCCCTCTCTCTGAAATCAATAAAGGTATATTTAAAAAATAATAATAAAAGTGGATAAAAACTCACACCAGTAAGTGCCGAGAATTTCTCTAGGAGAGTACAGAGGAACGGGGCAGGCTTTCCCTCTAAGGAGGAGAGCTGAGGGCTCCGGGGGTCTGAAAGAGGAGGAGGACTTTCACTGTATACGTTTATATTCTTTTGTTCCCTTTTGTAAGCATATATTACCTTTATAAAAATTAAAAGGTGTGTGTAAATGCACATTAGAAAACCTGAGTTGTCCTCCAGTAGAGATAGTGGCAATGTGGAGATATAGAAAGATTGTGGACTTCGAATTTGAAATTGGACAGATCTAGGTTCTAAGCTTAGGTCTGGCGGTTACCAATTATATAACTTATCCTCGCGAGCCTATTTTATTGTTGGTAGAGGTGTCTGATACCTATCTTCTGGGTTAAGATGACACACGAAAGAGCTTGTGCCCCGGCCCGTGGCTCGGTTTCTTTTTTCCTCTCCTAGGAAGTACTAGAACTTTAAAGTACTCTGTACCAAAAACAGGTGGCGATTTGCTCCGCCCATGCTCACATGGACATTGAGACTTGACAGTTGACAAGTTTGACATATATAGACAGAACATTTTTATTATGTATTAGAAAGCAATTTGCGTTAACACTCATAAGTTCAATACACTGAAATTCTGTTTTTAAAGGAGAGGGGAGAAAAGAAATAGGGAGCCAGAGGCGTGTGAACTACAGGATACGGTTTAAACTGGAGACCTGACTCTGATAGGGTGTCCCCAAAAATGTACACACATTTAATTCCAGTGAGTTAAATCTGAAAAGAAAAACATAATTGAGCTATCTGCTGTTAACGTGTGTATACATTTTGGGAGATACACTGTATTTCAAATGTGAGGAGAAACACAGGTCCCCTGTCCTACTCCTGCAGTAAATGATTCCAGACATGAAGTCGCCAGCTGCTTGCACTCCTGGGGTGCACATTCTTTCCATATGCAAGTGGGCAAGTGGCTCTTTCCATTTGCTGTGTCTTTATGAATGTGTGTATATAAAAAATAATTACCTCACAGGCATATAACGTGTGTGCGGATATGTTTGGGTTGTCTCCAGTGTGGTATGTGTGGTCACATTCCCGTCTCTTAATCTTTCCAAGTAGCAGGCAAGCCTGCAGTAAATTCCAGAGATTCTAAATTCCAAGTCTTCCACTTATTTAAAATTGGGCTTTGTGGAAGCATATAACTAAAAAGACTGATGACTAATCTAAACTTAAGTTAGAGCTAGGAATGTTTTAAGAACTTTGCCTGGAGAATAGAGAGTGGATTTTAGGCGATTTCTTTGAGGTGCAGCGTTGATGGCTCCTCAGGAGTTTCCTGGCACTTTGCTTTGGACAGGGTGGTTCAGTGTAGTATAAAAATTTCCTGGGGAGAAACCACTTATTTTCATGTTTCCATTTGAATCACTAATATCAGGACTAAAGAGTGTGTTAGACTCTATAAATCAAATATTTAGTAGTTGGTTTTCTGTTTCCTTCTCATAAAACATGGTAAGCAGAATTCAGGTGGTCATTCACAAAAGACCACCAGTTCTTCCAAAAACAAAGGAATATGCCCAAGAACTCACTGAAGAAAATGATTTCTCCCCAACACTTTCGGTGCCATGTGATATGTCTTTATAGTCCCGTTTAGGGGTCAGATGGAATATTTTACTGGTAAACGTAAGCTCCTCCCCAGCAGGCACCATTGTCCACAAGCATTGGCTGTTCCACAAAGGCCACAGCAGTGGATTAGAAGTGGATTCTTTTCTCAGGTTGTGTGGCTATGTTAAAGATTGAACCAAAAGCAATCCAGATTCCAGCTGATGTTTCAAGCAGTGGCCAGTGCAGATTTCTATAAGATTTTAGATAATTTGTTACTACAGGAAGCTTAGGCCCATTCCATAAGTAGGAGGTGCCACAAAGGTTATTCAATCATCACTGTGAAGTCCTCTTGTCTTGCAGCATTCATTCAGTAAAGTAAGCAGCTTGCCTTGGTAACCGTTTTGTCATCCCCACCCCCCCTTTCCCTGCAGGTGGACCATACCATAATCATGTACTTGATTGGCCCAGATGGTGAGTTTCTAGATTATTTTGGCCAGAACAAGAAGAATGCAGAGATAGCTGGTTCAATCGCTGCACACATGAGGGAGCACAGGAGAAAGAGCTAGCCACAGCAGTGCTGCCAGAAAGAGGCCTTGTCTCCATAGAAGGCAACTTACGTGTGTGTGCAACCCACAGAGTGGCCTTTGCACCATGAAGACATCTATATTTTGGACAGGGCATGTTACCCTTGGGATCAGCCAACATGGAAACTGTAAAAATTACCACCACAAGTCTCCCAACTAGCCATCGCCAGCCTGGAGGACCAAGTTAATGTGAAGCCAGGGGAGTGGCCTCGGGAGGAACAGCCGAGAGGGAGGCACAGTCAGTGAGTTCCTGCCGTGAGCAGGGCCCTCTGCTCAGCGTCACTGCCTCCAGTGTCTGGGACCCCTGCTTGTACAGGCTGTGGGACTGGATTTCCAAGAAGAATAGTTTCCACAGTGCTGTTGCTTCCCCTTCGAGTTCTTGGTGGCTGATAAATTAGCTTTCTGCCATTTGAAGCTGATCTTTATACTTGAAAGTTTAAGTGGAGCCTTCCTTTTAAGGAACATCACTGTCAGGTTTGCATTGCAGTCCCCTCTCAGCAGGTGCTGATTTGACTAATGAAGAGGGAATCGATTGTTTGGGGAAAACCATTAGATTTGTTTCTTTAGGGATCTTGTATGTGATTTTTAGCCAAATGATATGCTGGATTTTCAGTGACGTACCAGATGGAAAGGAGGCTGTTGATGATGAGTGTGATGCGGACACTTTTCTGCCTATACTGATTGCTCTTTGTGAAATAAATGTGTATTCAGTTTCGCAGCTTGGACAAGTGTGGCCTTTCTCATGGGCGAAGAGGGAGTGCGTAGGAGGCAGCACACGGCCGACAGGTGGCTGCTGTAGTGCAGGCGCTCGGGCCCCGGCCGGGGTTCACTGAGTCAGGTTGGATGCAGAGACTGGGTTCATAACAGGTGCCCAAAGTGCCTCAGATACTGGGGGCCTGCCTTGAGGAAATTCTGTGAGGAAACAAGGTCTTGATCTGGCTGAGTGAAGACTTGACCCATCACTTGGTGTGTCAATGAAAGTGTTGTACACACAGCCAGGAAATTATTGTCGAATGATAGAGTGAGTCTTGACTTTTGTCCTGAATCTCACTTTTTCCACCTGCAGCTGCTGCCTAGGACAAAGTTCTCTGAAAGTTTTCCAGTAGATCCTACCATAGCAGGTATGTTTTACTTGCATAGGAAACAGGCCTGTCTTTTGGGTTTTAAATGTCTTCTTAATACCTAGTTATGCCTTTTATAAGGACATGCCAAAATATGTGAAAAAGAAAAATCATGAACTATAGTGGTTATGGGCTGAATTGTGTCCCCCAAAATCCATACGTGGAAGTCCTAACCCAGTACCTCAGGATGTAACTACTTGGAGATGGGATCTTTAAAGAGATGATTACGTTAAAATGAGGCCATTAGGATGTGTCCTAATCCAGTCTGACTGGTGTCCTCATAAGAGGAGGAGGTTAGGATACCCAGGACCATGGGAAGACACAAGCCTCCAGGAGAAACCAACCATGCTGACACCTTGATCTCAGACTTCTGGCCTCCAGACAGTAAGAAAATAAATGTCTGGTTGCAGCCCCCTGGTCTGCGGTACTTTGTTACAGCAGCCCTAGCAGACTAAACAGTACGATCCTTTCTTGGGGTGGGTTCCTTAATACACAGCTAAAAGGTTGGCATGACTTTCCCAGAAGCCTTGTCAAGGTGAGGAACTTACTAAAAGACTGGTTTCATGGAACAAAGATGATGCTAAGTCTCTACAATGCCAGACACTTGAAAAGACGGTCTGTTTTAAGCCACCAAACATTCGTGTGGATCACTTTGCAGCGCTTGCTCTAGATAAAATATAGTCTTCATTCTCAGCTGTTGCAGGTTAGCGCTTGTGTAATGATCCAGAAAGGGAACAGCGGCTTTTGAAGAAACCTTTTATATGCTCTTCATTCCAGTGTCAAGTTTAAAGGCTTAGGATCAGGATGTCAGACACGGAAAGGGGCCTCTGATGACATCAGATCTCTCTGTGCATGAGGAGGCCATCCTAGAGGTGAAGGTGGTGCCCTTCTGAACCTCCATTAGATTTTGGGTCCCAATTTCTAGTCAAGTCCCTGCTTGTCCCACTGCTGTGGAGTGCTATGGTTACTGTATGACTCTAAAACAAGTGTTGTGTACTTGGGGGGCATCTTTTCGATTGTAAGTCGGGAAATTGAAATCAAGGCTGCTTTTCAACACTTGAAGATCTTTACCGGGGCAGGTTAGAGTATTTTCTTGCCCTGAACTCTTCAATGGAATTAACAAGAAATGCTGTTTATTTGAAAACTGTAAGAATCCTGTCTGCAGTGGGCACGGCAGTACTGAATGTGTCCAGCTGTCTTAGGCCAAAGAGCTGAGAGTCACTGAATGCCAGTAAAAGGCACATGTGAGTTGGGAGGCTAATAGGAGCCCAGTCAAGTGCTTTGAAATTTTCAACGCATCTGCATAAGGTATTTTTAAGTCTTTTATTGTTTTAAATATAAGGTTAAAAGAAATGTTTCAAATCACCCATAATCCCCCAAATAATTTCTTTTGTACACAGCACTATTTAAACTGTGTGTGAGTTGCCTTTAAAAGGCAGTCACACAAGTATTTGTATCCTCGCAGCTTATATTTTTTACTCATAGTTACTACTTGTGTGGGTGGTTATGCCTAGTTATTAATGAAATGCAGTTAATAACCCCTTCAGCCATGTGTTCCTGTAACACCCTTAGAATTTAGCAGATAATTATTTTCTATTGATTTTAGAAATGTATTTTAAAATTTATTGGTTCTTCCATAATTATATTCTCAGTCGAGGAAATTTGTAATACACAGAAAATTCAAAGGAAGAAATTTTAAAATCATTGTTTCACTACAGGAAACAATATTTGGATGCATTTTCTTTCAATCTTCAACATTTAAAATCTTCTGTCATACCAGAAATTCACAAATGTATTCCTTTAAAAAAAAAAATTAAAGGAATGATGGATCCAGCTCAAGCCTCTTGCCACCACTCCTCACCACCCGCAGGAATTGCTGTTTAGTGGTGGGTGGGTATCTCTCCAGGGTATTAAGTGTTAGGGCAAATGGAGGAAAGAAGCAGGCAGGCGGAGACAAGCAGGGGCCCTAAAAGAGAGAAGTTCCAAACGTCTTTATTACAATTAATTTTCAAAATCAAAAATTTGACATGCATTCTCCACTATATGTACATTTACTTCTTTATACATTATGTACGTGTATACTGCACAAATATATTTGGCGAGTGGTTGTCAGAGGTAACACATGAAAAAAAGCAGAAATTTGCAAGTTTGAGAAAGCAAGTGGTGTATTAGTGTGGGTGATGGACACTTGGGTATTTGTCTAATTCTATACATGCAACATACATGCTTTTGTATTTCCTATGTATGTTTGCTCCACTTTCCTATAAAAATGCATATGCATATAAATAAAAGGGCTGGTATTTTCCTCCCACACTCCAGTGCTGTGTGTGCTCCTGACAGACCAGTGCTTTAGAGTTCCTGGGAGCTCCAGTGTTAGATCTAATCTACATCTGTTCTGCAGTGTCTGCCCTTTATCCCACCTCCTTTCTCTGGAGGCTCTGAATGAGCCTGTTTCTTGTCAACCAAAAAGGCAGACTAAAATACAGTTGCTGAGAAAGTTTTGTAAACATGACACTAAAGACAAAGCAAAGCGTAAGTCATTGCTAGGCTGGATCAAAACCTGTAACAGAGTTACTCTCACTAATGTATAAGGTTCGTTTACAATTCCATAAGGAAAGAGAAGAACACCCAAGAAAAAGCTGGTCAAAGGGCATAAACAGTCCAGCAAAAAAGAATGTCAAATATTTAGCCATACCTCTGCCCAAAGGTAACCATTACTAGCAATCAAACAATGGAAATTAAAACACTGGGGTTTTTGTGTCTCAGGTTGACAAAATGCTACAAAGAATGCTACCTATTGAGGATGAGAGTATGGAGAAATGGACCCTCACGTAGAACTGATAGAATATAAAGTGTGACTGGCTTTCTGGATGGCAGTTTGTCAATATAGAGCAAGCCCGCCCTTCCATGTTTCTGCATTTATCCCCGGAGAGAACTGTGGGTATGCACGAAGATTTGTTCATTGCAACACTTTGTAATAGTAGGTAACAGATAAAGCGACCTAGATGCCCAGCTGCGGGGACCTGTAACACACCAACTACAGAGGAGAAAGAAACTGGGTACATCCATAAGTGGAACCATCGAACCATTAAATTGGAGCAGTTGATTAATGTTTAATGATATGGAAATATATCCAATATCTACTTTAACCCAGTAAGCTGCAAAAGTTTGATCTCATTTTTTGTGTAAACAAAAAGTATATACCAAAGTGTTAATAAGAATTGTATGTTTATGGATGATTTTTTATTTTCTTAAAAGGATCTATTTTCTAAGCCTTTCTAAATGAACATACATTAATTTTATAATAATAAAGAGTCATTCTCAGGAAGACAAATAGTTTATCCCCCTGTCAATTTTAATCAAATAGTAGTTCCTTCCTGTAACAGTGCTCGGGAGGATTATGAAGCTGTGAGCAGGCTCAGATGGTGTGTGTTTTGTCCACTAATGGTGTCTGCGGGGATCGTGGGAGGAGGCAGCAGCTACCTTGGAGTACTCCGCAGCCATGACACAGATGCTGGGGTTCACTGATGTGTTTGCTTGCTTTTGACTGGGGAGAGACATGGCCAGACTCAAGCTCCTGGTTCCGGCTTAGGGAAGTCAAGGGCGGAAATGCTCTGTGACACGCCTCGTGGACATTCCCCTGCACTTCATGCATGAAGCTCACCCAGCCGCTGCCCGCATCCCATACATGCACCAAGGAGAAAGACAGTCCGTTCACCCGAGTGTATCTGTCGTGTACCACAGATCAGCCAGAAGACGGCAGAGCTGAAGAGACTGTGAGGTCATTTGCTTCAACTCCCATTTTTTTAACAGAAGAGGAAATTGAGGCCCAAACATGTAAGATATTTTGTGCAAGGAAAACGTTCCTTCTCCCATAGCCCTAGAGGAGGGCATCGGCCCTGCTGGAGCAGTGGGACAGCGGGTGCACCCACTCGGCCAGGACCCGGTGCCTGCCCGCAGCCCATGGCCATGGGCGGGCTCTCCCGCGTCGTTCCCACTCCCTTAAGCGGAAATAATCCCCCGCTTTGCCCACCAGCAGGGTTGCTGAGGCTCAGGTGAGATAAGCAACAAATGAGAGAACATCTGCACTATGTCCGAGAGATTACTGAAACCTTTGACATATGGAAGGTCTGAAAATAGAAAAATACTAACATCTCAAAAGAAAAAGAATAAGGTAACAAAGACTTTATCGGAGAGCAAAACAGTACAGCGATGAGTGGGAGGCGGCCCGTGTTTCCCTCCCTCTCTAAGTGCGTCCTCAGGTGAGGATTGAAAACGAAAGGAAGAAACAAAATATGTAAATGTTTCCTCTTTTTATTTTGAAAAGGCAAATAGGACCAGGCATATAAAAATATTTCAAATTAACATATAATAGTAGTGGTCGTTAGCTCTAAGTGGGGAGATGATTTACCTTCATTATACTTTCCTATAAAATTTTATATGAATGGTTTTTTCTTTTTTAAAGTTTATTTTTGAAAGTATTACAGATGTCCTCCTTTTCCCCCCATTGGACCCCTCCATCCTGCATCTGCCCCACCCCAACCCTAGGCCTTCACCACACTATTGTCTGTGCCCATGGGTTATGCATATATGCATA